TTTTTCTAAAACACCGGAACCGCGATGGTTTTATATACCTCGTAGTTGAAATATCTCGTTAAAAAAGTTTGTGTTTGCTCAATAAACAAGACTATTAAAAATGTTCTATCTATAGAAACTGCAATTTGACATTAAGATGTTATCTACGTTAAACAAGAGAATAGTATGCTTTCACTAAGTCAATTTCCATTAAACAGGCTTAATGAGGAAATTTAAAATTCATTCAACAAACAGAGCTCCGGTTGCAATCGAAACATAACAATCAATAGACGACTTGTAGAAATGGTCTATACCGTAAACATTTACAAACATCCAGGATGTAAAGTGACACACATTAATGTTTATTAGGCAAATAATGATTTAAATATTTAAAGTAACTATTTCCATTTAACATACTCTATAATAATTTCCCATTTTGGTATATAATTTGTGTAATTTTTAATATTGTTTCCAAACAAGTGGCAGTAAATATTTCTTTTTCTTTTAAAGCAAACTACGGCCGTTCAAGCCGTCGACCATTTCAAACGGTGGTTCGTCACTAAGATCCAAACCATGTCAGGCGCCGTTTCTAAAGAATCTGATGCTGAAAAACATTTAGCCCAGGCCAGAAGCCAGCTGGAAGCTCTTAAAAAAATTGCGCCAACGAAATGTATAACAGAGGCGGTACATAAGCTCAGCCAAGTCCGCCAGACGACATTCGACGACTTTTTTCACTGCCCAAATGCGACAGACGTGGCGAAAAACTTGCAGCAGCTTGTGTGCAAGACGCTCGACTACGGTGTGGAGGTTTTTCAGACGTTCAGTACCGTCCTGCTCGGCGTCAACAAATGCCTTCCTCTTTCGAAGGAAGACGATTTCAAATGCATGTCCGAATATTTCTGGACGGTTTACGACTTGCTTTGCAAGCTCGTAGGCAATGGGATGGAATACAAAGATAAAGTGATGGAACTAGGCAGGGAAGTACGAGAAGAGGTTGACGCTTGCATGCACCCGGGGAACAACACGATTGGAAACCAAGTCCAGCAAGTCATGAGGGGCTTCACATCTTGCGTCTTAGCTTAAGGAAAAAAAATTAATTATTCCAATAAAATATCTTAGACAAAGTCTACACGTTGTTTTTCTATAATACCTTTTCAAACTATGTGCGTTACATACATTTCATTACTAGCATAATTGGACGACATATGTATTATAAAAATATATGTACTACCAATAAGAATGCATAACAGGAAAACATATTTTATAAATCAAAATACTTTTTACTGTAAAGCAAAACCATCGAAACAAGTTAAAAAGTTAATTAAATATATATAACAATAAAACTAAGAAGATATCAATAACATCATATAGTAAAAAAGTTTAAGTTCAAGTTTAAAAAAAGTTTCTAGTTTCTATATTTATCAACAAAAACCCATCACAATTAATACAGTTATAGAGTATTTCATTTTTTTCTATATGCAGTTATTTGTTTTCGTCATATGGAATTATTTTAATAAAACATTACCTCAGACACACATACACACACATTATATATTTCTCACTTTCTCTCTCTCTCTTTCTCTCTCTCTTTTTCTCTCTAATTCTATCTATCTACATCATTATGCATCTCTCTCTCTCTCTTTTTTTCTTACTCTATTTCTGTCTCTCTCCTCGCTGTGAATATTTTACTCTCTAAGCCCCAGTCCGACGTTCGGTTTCACTGTTTCGTCTGCTCTCACTTTCGCTCACTTGCTTTCTCGCTTTCTCTTCTCCTTCTCTCTCTCTCTCTCTCTCTCTCTCTCTCTCTCTCTCTCTCTCACTCTCTCATTTCATTCACTCGCTCACTTTCACTTTTTGACCTTTTCTTTTTCTCTCTCGTTCTCTGTCTCTCATTCTCTCCTTTTTCTCTTTGTCTCGTGTATCTTTGTCGTAATTGTAAAAAAGATCGTTTTCTATCGAAATTTGCGAGAGTTACACGATAGTCATTTTTTTATTCTATCTTATATCAAAAGTAAAAAAAATAAACCTTTATTCACTCCCATCCTTTTTATTTGTGTATTTCTCTCCATCCCTCTCCTTCCCACTGTGTCTTTTTCTTATGTTTATGATAAAACAGTTGGTCGTTGAATCAAAATCTTCCGTAACTAATAAAAAAATGAAAAATCTTTTATTCTTTATCCCTTTTTCTTTTATCTCTTTCTATCATTATCTTCACAATGTGTGTGCGATGTGTTTACCATCCAATTCATCAACTTCTTCCGCTATTTGAGTTTAGTGTGGTAAAACGTTGGGACTAAAAGCCGAGAATATCGGTTTTCTGTTGAGAACTGAATGTTAGAGCTTTAGTTTTAAGATGACAATCAACTATAGTAATTTTATATGCCTTCACTTCTGTTGTAAAAATGGTCGTACGTTCATTTTTATAATCGTTATACTGTTTATAAAATAATTTTATACAAAGATAAATATTTATTTTTTTAAATAAACCAATTTACAGAATTGATATTGCAATGTGCAAAAGGTTCGTTTGTAATAATCGATACGATTTAAAAAAAAAACTTGTAAAAATTTACACGAGTTTAATATTTATCCGTTTAACAAAACAAAAATAAAGCACTGAACATATTGCTGATTAAAATATTATTATCAACATTATTATCATCAAATTTTTGTAGAGTAGATCAATTTCAGATTTTAAAACATAAAAATTCACAAATCTTCGTACTTTTCTAAGTGAGCGTGGTTTTATAAAAATGGTCATGCTCAGTTGGATTATAATGGGATGTGGCCCGATTTTTCCCTCTCTGTCAAGTTATGTTTATAGGAGTTTTAGATGTTTTGTTAAACGACCATTACTTTATTTACCGGACTTACTACAATGGTTGTTTACTATAGGTGGCATTTGATGTGTCGTTTGTGTTTGGCAAAGTAAACCTACGGACGTGAGATCAGCGGTTTTAATGAGACCGTTTTGGGTGATACTGGTTCAAAAAATATTTGGTGTCCGGTCGTTTTTTCCTAATCCTTCAAATCCAATAAAACTATATTTTAAGTAATTGACGTAGTTTGAATAAATATGTGTAATAATATGTGTAATACTATGTTGTTCACTTATTTCCTGCTTATTATACATGAGCTGATTTGTTTCTAACGTAGGAAAAGCCAACATTAGGTATCTACTTATTGAAACAAAATTGAAAGCGACGTCAGTATCTTTATGGATGGTGGGGTTAGTTAGATACAAAGGAGGTGTGACAATTTTTATGGACTTTTCATTAGAAAGATTGAATGCGCTAAACATTAGATGGCTTAGCGGAACCCCACAATTCCACTCTACATATCCAAATTGCTCGTAGTAATGTATTGCATATTCAGGTGAGTAATGATGGCCAAAACAGAATTCGGTCTGAGATGTCTTCGCAGTTGTCCAATTCTTCAATTAAGTTCTTTCTGAAGTTTTATGTGGAGAGTCGAATCAGACTGTTGCCTAGGTTTGGTCGTAAGTATATTCCTGGGTGAAAGTCGGTGGCTCCTTGTTATTTTATCTTCAATGTAAATGTACAATGGGAACGAATTTCTCATTTAGGGATGGTTAGGGATGGTCTGGATAGCCTTGGCTTCTACTTTTTGCTCCATTTTTTGATAAGTTCAAGGTGTTCTCGGATGTTGATATGTTGCTTGGATATCATTAGGTATGTGGTCATAAGGTATCATCGTAGGTAGACAATTGTAGGTATTGGGATGTACGGGAAATCAAACAGAATAAATGGTAAACAATATGGAACTTTGAATGCTCCCTTGCAGAACCCGGCCTGTATTAGTCTGATATCTGCGTACTCGTTGGGGCTATCGTAAGTAAACGTCAGTTGAATAAGATGCAAGGGTAAAGTAAAAAAGGAGTGGATAGGAATCACTAAATATATAATGTCTGGGTGCTAAATCTCATCTAATGTATGGGTTCGCCACGAACGCACCCAAGCAAAATTATTTGTCCTCTCGACCTAAATAATTTCAGCAACTCACAAAACCTTGCTAGACGGTTGTATGGGGATCGAGGATGGGTATTCAACGTGCTAGAAGGAGTCTTTCGAGGATTTTGGACGTTCTCCAAGAAGGCTGAAAGCGTGCTGGTAGTTTGGTGGAGGACATGTGTTTGTGATGTATAGGAGCTTCAGGTATGAGCGGATACTTCCATTGAGAAGAAAGTGTGTTGTACAATGGAAGGATTTGTATACAGTGATTAAAATAGTATGTTTTTTATGGCCTAGTTTCCTGGAAGTGTGATTTTTGGAACTTTTTGTATAATTAATTTAACTTAATATGATCCTATTTTTTTATTTTAAACAAATAAAGATAACAGAAAACCATATTTGAAAAGAAAATTACTTAAATGTCTCAAAATATTTTTTTCTCCGCTGCTAGGGCCTATAGTGATAAACGCTCCGACACATGGCTAAAAATTTTCAACTTTGTATTTTAAAAAAACATCAAAATTGGTAATCCCATGAGTTTTTCGAGTAATGCAGTAACATTCATAACAGATGTGGGTCCTGATCTTTTGCCGCTACACTAGCTGGAATATATACTTAAAAAACAGGTTTATAAATTAAAAAGTTAAATTTTTAAGTTATTACTTGTTTTGATTTTCAATCGTGTACAACAAGTTGCAACGTATTTTTCTAGCACTGTGTTTCTTTATACAGTTGTGATATATCTGATTGATTGATTGATATAGAAAACAGCCTTGCTCGATCCTTAAACCCCGAAATCAATTTTTCATTCTCGAAAACCATGTCAGAGACTTGTCAGTCCCCATTAGTCAACTTCATATTAACCTGAGATAAGGAAACAAAAAATATAAAAACAGTATGTAGTTAAGTTTTATTCTACGAGCTATAAGCTGCACATTGGATTTATTGATACCATTACTTTCATAACAGTTGTTTAATCCTAATGGTAAAAATGCAAGCTTTACTTATTTTCCGTTTTCTTACCCTATAATTTATTATTATTTTATTATCTCATTTACATCGTGTGATATTTGTGAAAAAAATGATTTGTCGATCTACACTTGAGATTTAATATATCACCTGTTCACTGTTATTTAAATACAATTTTGCTTTAACTGAAGTGATTCAGTTATTGTCTCCTCGGCATGTCAGCGATATATTGTCTATTGGCCATTTTATTGGCTTCTAACGTCCAGGTAAGCGGTTTTTTAAATAATTTTTAAGTAGTAAATCAATTTTAAACACTGGCTCAATTTCACAATAATCAAATGAATATTATGCGATTGATTAATTATATTTTAGAGTTTGATGGATTCCATTCATTTTTGCCTACCTTTGGGGGGGGGGTTGTCGTACGCGTTTCGGAGTTTTGCTACCTTCTGTGCTGTATCTGATGTGCATATTAAAATGATCGGAAACGAAAGAACTAAAGATTCCCTAACCCTCAGACTGAAGAAGAATTTTAAGTCTTTTCTATCATACTGAACGTTTTTCATTTATTTTAATAATATTATCTATGTTAATAATAATAATAATAATGTTGACAATTTTTAAAATTATCAGAATGTTAATTGATGTACAAGTTGGTGTTTTATGATTGATTTAGCTAACAACAATACAGTGAAATAGTACTGTGAGACCAATTCCAAATAAATTTAACCTCTTTTTTTCATAGGGCAAGAGATGGGACTTTTATCCTGAGACTGTAAATGAACAATCATGGGTAAAGGAAAAAATGCTGTTGGCTATCGACGGTCTCAAAGATTACGCTGTAAATGTTGAAATCGCCAAAATGGTCAAGTTAACTTCAAAAGCAAGAAACGAACTTAACCTCACGCCTGCCAACAAATGCAGTCACAAAGCCCACCAACAACTTGAAATGGCTAGTAACTCCTCTATCGGCGATTTCATCCACTGCACAGAAATGCCGAATATTCTTTCAAATTCGAAACAGCTTGTCTCGGACGTCGTCGGCCTCGTGGAACTCTACCTGCACGACGTGAGGGAGATCCTGGACGGCGCGGACGGCTGTACGCCGATGTTTTCAGAAGACGGTCTCAAATGCTTCAACGCCTACTTGTGGAAGGTTGTGGATTTGTTCGAACAGTTGGCTGCCCAAACAGATGAAACCGTTTTGACTGTGGAGCACCTCGTGAGTGTCATCGCTGATGAGATTCTCACCTGTAAACGTTCTTTCACAACCCTTCAATCTTACGTGCAAATGATATTGTATGAACATAATAAATGTGCCAATTCTGAATAAATTTCACTGAGCTTTATATTTATTTCAATTTTACCTATATTGTGATATTTTTTTATATTTTCAAATTACCCCTTGGGACAGAAACAGAAAATATCAAATCGTATATAATTTTTTTACGAATACAAATAAACATATAACAACAAATAAACAAATAAGGTAAAAAAAAATTTTGTTTATATAAAAAATTTAATATTCATTTTTGTAACGCCAAAAGGCTGGATAATACTTTTTTTTGGTAAAAATAAAAATTGATTGAAAACAATTTTTCGTCTTTTCTTACCCAAAGAATTTTTTTCTACAACCGCAAAAATAGTGATAATTTTGAAACGGCTCCATCTATTAAAAGATAAAAGATAATTTACAATGGTATAGACCCCCATAATAATAATAATAATTTATTTAATAACAAAATAAATTATACAAAACACCTCGACATTAATATTTTACTGCTTGGTAAAAATCGTTAGATTACATTTCTTCTCAAAGAAAAACGTGGTAGTATAAATGAAAAGTAAAAGGTAGAAAACATTTAAGAGTACATGAAAAAGAAAAAAAGAACCACTGGCAAGAAATTTTGGGGACCTTGAAGGACAAATGTAAAACCTACAAACTGTACATAAAGTAACAAAAATAGTCATTGTAAATGAATTAAAACCATATATGTGAAATACGTCTGCAGAATTTTTGTTGATTTCTTCTTCAATGTTTTCACTTATAATGCCGTACAATTTAACCGTTGTTATCAAAGGTTGAAAGTAGAAAAATACAGCCTTCCAATTGTTGTTACATGTACATGTATATCGTGGGGATAAGATATAATCCAGATACGTTATGAGTTTTTATGAGTAATAAAAAATGCCTCCTGCCAATTCTGGGAGGATAATCTTTTGTTTTCTATTTATAACAATTCGTATTTAATTCATTTAAAACTAATTCGATTGGTTTAAGCCTTGGAGTATTTTATATGAAGCGTATTTTGGCCCTCGTAGACCGCAGAAGGGGTCATCATCTCATGTGATTAACAATAGGGCTTGAGAGGAAACATAATTTTGGGCCAACGTCCACGCATGTAGAGAATGGTTGTACGATGTGCCAATGTTAATTAAAGGGTGCCTTTTCTGGGGGTGAATATTGAAAACGTGTAAGGCCACACGATATGAGAACTGTGCTGGTGCACGGCAGCGAATCTGTTCGGATTTTTAGAGGATTTTTATTGCAGGTTTAATATAAAATGTTATAGATATTCCTTCTTGTAATTTTTTAAGCTGATTGTATTTATTAGCGTGAATGTGGAGGTTAAGAAGGCCGATGGCGGAATATTGAGTACTTCATAGACCCCCCAACTAATATATATATAAATTATGGATAATAATTTAACTTATATATAACTTATATATATGATACTGTAGAGTGTGGTGGAGAGACATTACGTACTTCACCACCCCAACTGAGTGAATTGTAAATACATGAATGTCAACGATGTTTAAAAAAGCAGAAAAGGATGCATTAAAGCATAAGTGTGAATGGATTTGGGCTGAAATGACCTAGCATTTAATTGCCCACGGAGCATAACCTGGCTGGACTGTCAAGACCGAGGTCTGAAGCCGGGCTGCCAACACCCGGTGATTCTCAAGGCCTGCAGATAATGTATTGTTAATTATACAAAAGTATGAATTGGAAAGTGCGAAGTGATAGGCTCTGCTCTGAACACGCGTGCATTTATCTACATCCTCTATATCCGTGTGTACATAAATCAGTATTTTTTATAGAACTATTCTCATTTCATGCTATCCTACGAATATTTTTATTATCCTACTTAACGAAACAAATCAACTGATATATAACACAAATATGATATTTATAATATATGAAATAAATTATAAAATAATAATATAAAATAATAATAAATTATACAATAATATATCATATAATATATGAAATAAAAGTCAAAACACGGTATTTCAACAAATTATGTAATGTGGTGATTAGTGGCCGTTTGTCGATGATTATTGAGAAATCGTGAGATGCGGTCTGGTGTGATGTAGGTTTTAGAAAAACATTTTCTTTTCATAGCCTGGGATTTACAAACATTGTTTAAATTTAACAAAAATGTAGGATGTGGAGAAAATTGAATTTAAACAATGTTTGTAAATCCCAGGCCCTTAAGATGATCTCAACAAAGATCGAAACGTTGGCACGATAAACAAAATGTTTTTCTGAAACCAACATCACAACAGACCGCATCTCACGATTTCTGAATAAAATTATGTAACTTACATAAAATGTGTTTTTTCGGTATGGTCTGGATGAAAAAATAAATTCAATTGGTATCTGCCAAGCTTTCGACGATTATAAAATTATCACCAGAGCAAAACAATCTTAAAGATGTCTACAAATTGGCATAATTAAGTTTTTAATATATGGTTTCAAATTTATTTGACGTTATACAACCATGTATAACTAGAAAAAGTTTCTAAGAAATAAATGATCACATGTCGGTATCCTTCTCTTGTTGTAAGGTAATTATATGAATTACTATAAATTATTTAAATTGTACTAACATGTACCTTATTGTCTCACTATACGTTGATTAATTAATTAGGGGCCTAGACTTTATAATTTACCTTCTGTAAGCCCAATTATTATATTGTATCATAACAATGGATCCATGTTTCAAACAAAACATTAAATTGGAACTCTTTCACCTTTTATGTTGGTTGAATTTATCATGTGATGGGCGTAATTCTGGACCACAGCCGATAACAAAATGATAACCATCACAAATGAACTTTTAGTTTGATTTATGTATATTCTTTGTATATTTAATCTTAGTTTGGCTTTCTTTTCATAATTCACTGAAGAGCTCTTTCGTTATTTCCTTGTTTTATTAATCTTTAATTTAAAACAATACTATAATTTTATTTCTCTGTAAAAATTATTATTTACAAAACGTAATTGTGATTTTGATAATGTTGGCAAAAGAATCTAATGAAATCAAACTACATATTCTCAAAAATATTTACATTAATATGAAAAATAATGATTTTAAAGTAAAAAAGACACGGAAAAACTTAGTACGCTTTATAAAACTGTGATTTCTATGAAAAGAACAAATAATATCAATAAACATTAATTGACGTATTTATTTTTAAATGTTAATTATAAGTAAGTTTTAAGTCTCAATTATTAATAATATTATTTGATTTGTTGATTATAATGTTGAGTTAATTATCAATAATTTATTTCTTATTTAAAAATTAGTTGTATATTAAACGAATTGATCAGATTCAATATATATAATTGTGTGCGTTGGGTGATTGATATCTATTAAGGTTCATTTAATCTTATCGAAAGAATTAATAGTGCATAAGTTTGTTTTGTGCTTGAACAAGGTACGGTTCAATTTTTTAATTTGAAAAAAAAAAATGTATGACGATTTTTACATTTGTAATTTTCACTTGTTTTTATACAATTGTGTTTATCAACAATAATTGGTCGGTATAGGTAATAAAACAGTAAACCAAAGTTAATAAATATATATCCACAACACACGATAGTGTTGAATTGTTTTCATGCTAATTTTTAAAACTAATTTAACTAACCGTCATTTTCAACAGCAGATTACGTATAATAATACTACCCCGGGATTCCAGTGTGTTAAGAAAAAATGCCATTTTATAATAAACTTTGATATTTTTGCTTCAAATTTCGGACCCGTATCAATGTTCAGACCGTTGCAGTCATAGTCATTAACTTCTTAAAAATAACTTACAGACCGGCCATCAAGTTAGACGAAAACCTGTATATGGAAAAATGCCGAAAAACGCGGACACAAATAATCAATGGCGACCGAATGACACAGGTACAAAGCCCCCGTAGAGCACAAGAAGAAATATCAAATTTGTATATTATTAGGTCAGTATTACATTACTAACATTATAGTTATTACGTATATATATAATTCTATTAAATTGAAGTGCTTTACGTACGCAAGTAAACGGCTTAACAGACCTCCACGAATGATACATTGAAATCAATAGGAAATAAAGATAATATAAAATGATAACTTAACTTAAATCATTAAATGTACAAAATTTAGGTTGCATTTTTGCCAAATCCCGGTTTTAAAACTGAAAATTTATTGGTGTTTACACGAAAGTTTCATTTATTACAATACGACATGCCATTTCTTGGAAGATCGTTTAATAATTATTGATAGAAATGAAACATGTCAATAGTTGACAATAGATTTTATGAATATGTAACGAAAATGCGTAAATATTTAATATTTATAGATTAATAATTTATGAAATTGGTAACAAATATATTTTTATAATTGATGGCGAAATAAGATAAATGTTTAATTAGAAGAATAAATAAGCAATCAAGCTTGAATTTATATGTTTGTAATAAATCATGAAAATAAATTGCGGTGACAACTAGGTTGGTTAGTTGAGAAAATTTATTCCTTCCCTGACTTACAAGAGGGCTGAACAACCAACTATCCGCGGGTTTCGCGGCATGAGGTCAAACCACTTTAAGGTACGTTTTACATATCATTTCCAATTAAAATTCCACTGGCTGTACCGGGATTCGCACTCGAAACCACTACCATGAATCGGACGCCCGTAACATCGCGATTCTGACTGGCAGTAGTCGTAAAAATATCGTTACGACAAAGGGCAGTTTAAAAAAAATTAGCCACTGAAATTTACAATGACAAACCGTATTTTGATCGGCACAAGTTAGTCACTCGAGATAAAGTTATTATTTTTTGTATTGTTTTGCGATAAAAGCGATTCGGTACTTCAAGAATGGAATTAGGTGGAAAGGGGACATTAGACTGCTTTGGGCGAAAAATATTTTTTATATTGGATAAAAACAATCGCGTTTCATATAAAAGAGGCATGACACGTTGTTACGGTCCAGTTTGAATCGGCTGAAGCAATGAATATGTTTACGAAATTTTTCGTTTGCGTCGTAGTTGCCCTTGCTGCAGCCCAGGTACGCCAATAAAACATGGAATAGTATTTCAAATATTACGCAGTGTGTATTTAACAGGGAATTTATTTTTGATTTATTCACAACTGTAATATTACAATATGGAAATATAATATTTACACTATGTACAACATGACTTTGTTTTTTTGTTAGTTGAGGGAGTCAGTGGTGCTGGGCCAGTATTGATTATGCTCACGCTTTATGAATACGCGCGGCCAATTTCTTTTGCGTCTTATATTATAATTATTTGGAAAAGTGTAAGAGGAAGTTAGCTTCTTACAAGATCAAGGACGAAGGGAATGTTGACGTCCATGTGAATGGTGAGGCTAGATATGTAGATGGACTTTTGGATGATCTTGCCTTGTTGGGTCTGGATTTTATAAACATTCCAGCGTTTAGTTGAACTCGTTCAGTTGTAGTAATGTTTACTTGTATTATCGTATTGCAAATGGGTCGTTCGTACATGGCAGTTTCTACCATTGGTCAATTAGTCTGGCGAGAGGAAAAGTGTTTTAGCTCAAGTATTTTAGGTCTGCTGTGAAGGTTCCATGAAATCCAGAAATAGTCCAAGGTATAATGTCACAATATCATCGAAGGGAAGAAGATAGAAGAAGAAGGAGTTTGTATATGTAGAGGGGGAGGTAGTGTGGATGATAGAATTTATAGGCTTAATGATAAGGTTATATGCTTATGATCTCGGAAATAATTTAAAATCGAGAAAAGAAATATATATTCCATTTTTATTGTTATATGAATTATTTTCTAGTTAATTACATATTATTAATTGTAAACATATATCCTGACCTTTGACGAATTTAGGTTAAGTTTAGTTTAATTAAGTTTAGTAAAAAAATCAAACGAATTTAAGTTAAGTTTAGTAAAAAAATCAAATTACATTTATGCTAAATTATCCGCAGTTTTCAGTTCTTATAAATTAATTTAAAATCTTTGTAATATTATTAATTAGGATATGCATCTTTAAGAGGACTAGAAATGCCATGTATCGAGAAGTACAAATAAAGAAGTTTTATTTAAATTATTTCATTATTTAGGATAATGTGCGACTAATTTATTGAAAAAAATAAAGATATTTTAATAATTTTTTAAGACATGTCATTGGATAAAACGTTGTGTAAGAGTTATGTGGAGTGCATTCGGATTTCTTTTAGTGGGGATATTTCTTTTTTTTTATTTGCAGTTCGATCTACACTGTAACTCCTCCAACAAAACAAACAGAATAAAAAAAGTATAATAGATATCAAGAAAAACACCAATAATCGTTTCGTTCAAATCTGAAACCTGCAGGATCCCATACTGTTAAAATCTTGGGGCAGAAAAAAAATAAATTACACATTTTGCTGAAAAACTCATACATAACTTTTCACTTTAGCAGGAAAATTACAGCTCTACTTTATTTGAATAATTTTCCTCTTACAACAGCAGACAAGATACGATACCTAGGGATGTAAATAGACAAACGACTTGTGTGAAATTCCCACAGAGCTTAAACGACAAAAAACAGAGGGAACTAGGCCAAACAATCAACCAAAATTACTTAAGAACAATTTAAGACGTTTCATGTATCAAATCAATATTGCACAAACTAAGATTTCAATTTTCCTTTTGTCCATGGACTAGCTCGACACTGATGATGACGACGTGTACTTGTATTGTATATTGATGAATAAGGAATTAAAACAGTTTTGTATTTTACAGTGTGAGGCCGCTAGCGTTCAGGACGTGAAAGCGAACGCGTTTCTCGTTAAATTCAACAAATGGGTTAAGGGCAAAGAGCTCCAATTGAAGAACAGTGTTAAACATGCGGCCGAAGAACTCAAGGAACTCGAACAATCTTTAGTGAAAAACGCACATGAGAATTTGCTTGAATCTGTCACCAAAGTTGAACAAGACTTGGCTACCTGGGAGTCCCACATTCCGAAGAATTGCTACGGCTCCGCTTTCGCCAAACTCCAGGGCATGAAGAAAACAAGCGCTGCTGATTTTTTCCACTGTACCAACCTTACCAAGGCGGTAGCAGATGTTGGAACCATCCTTTCCAAAGTCGCCGATATGACTGTCACAGTCCTTGAACTTTGCGAAGAAGTCTTGTCCGGCGTGGAGGAATGCAAGCCTTATGTGTCTACAAAGGGTATGAAGTGCATCCAGGGTTATGTTCTTAAGGTCATAAAAGACTTCAAGACAGATCTTCCCCTGTTGAAAGATTATTTCACTGAAGTCGTAACTGCCGGCAAGGACCTGAAGGCACAAGTCGAATCGTGTCTTCACCCGTCCAAAGCTAAACTTAATGAAGAACTCACCACCCTTCTCACTTCTCTTCACAGTTGCTCCGTGTAATTTACACGAAACAAATACAAATTAATAGACTATCGAATTTTACTATATTAGTTATTTTTTCCTTGTTTCTCTATTTATAATATAAATGTATTTAACATTAAACATGAGTTGTAACAAATGATTTTATTTATTTTGTTGCTAATAAAAAAAATTATCATACTCATAACCCAGCATCATAACACGCACGGTTGACTTCATTTAGAAAAAATGATTTTGACAAAAATAAAACAAACTTCGTGCTGATAAAATAAAAATAAATAAAAAACAATATTTACTAGAAAAATAAAAAACTAATTATTTTAAATAGACCACATCAGTTGACCAAAGTGAGCAAGTGTAATCAGTTATGGTGCAGCACACCCTAGCTCATTTTTGATAGGTTTTGAGAGTAAAAATCAAATAAAACGCAACAATAAAATTAAAAAATTCCACTGTTTTCACATTCTCAGCGACTTATGAAGTGGCCACGGGGAGCTGATGGCGAAGTAATAATTATTTATTCTTTCAATGTAAGGTCATGGTTGAGATAAAAAAAGTCAGAGTCACGAGCGGGATTTGAAAATGGCAAAAAGAGGGAAGGTTCTAACGGTTGTAGGTTGAGATGGAGAGTTAGTGTCCAAGATAATCAAAGTCACAGTAGCTCAAATGGCAGAGTAGCGGCGTATTTAGACGAAGGTCGTGGGTTCCAATCCCGCTCGTGACGCTGACTTTTTTATCTCAACATTGACAGAATTAATTGAAAGATGTAACTTTGTCAATTGACCACTAAAACGTAAATGAGTTAATAATTATATTAATGCATATATATTTAGTGGTCATAATAGTCCATATTAATTATTTCAATTAATTAGCGTGGCCACTTCATAAGAAGCTAAGAATCGAATCCTGATTACACGACATTTGAAAAAGGGAAAAAAGAGGGACAATTAGAAAGGTTGTAGGATGAAATGAGGAGGTGATATCCCAGTGGATCCAAGTCACGATAGCTCAAGTGGTTAGAGCAGCGGCCTATTGAGCCGAAGGTCGTGGGTTCGAATCCCGCTCGTGACACTGACTTTTTAATTTCAACCAAAACCATAAACAGATTAACTTTTTATAAAATGTTATCTGTCCTTTTTTTCATACACTCTCTCACTCTTCACTTTTCCCAAATAGTGCATTTTCTCTCCTTTTCACTTTCTTCTCTCTTTCACTCTCACTCAATTTTTTTGACCGACCCAGTCTCTATCTCACTCTCATTACATTTCTGTGACACTAACTTTTTCATCTCTACTAAGACGTTAGATAAAAAGAATAATTAATTGAAATAATTAATATGGTCAATTATGATCAGTAAACATATATGGATTAAAATAAATATATATATTTTTTTTTTATCATTCTACGTATTCCTACCCTAATAATCCCTCCTCCTAGGAAACCACGTCTGTGTCATACTGTCATGGGATTTGTTTTGCTCTCTAATTTAGAGTCCTTATATCAACTCCCGGGATTATGCTGTAAAAGGAAAAAATCCAATTTTTACGGACTTTGGATTCTAATTTATGACTCTAATGATTCGACCCCGTGACTCTTACAGTGATGAGTCCTCGTGTATGCACAAATAACGATCTTTTATCACAAGACAAAGTGAAATGTCTTAAATTATATTATAACTTAATAAAAAAAACAATAGTTGAGAAGTTGTTTTAGATCACACCTCTAACATTACCTCCTTGTCTAAAACCAGGTCAATAACACAATGTCAAGGGTTGTTCTGCTATATGTTGTACAAATTAGGAATGTCATCGTCGTTAGTTCAATTTTCCCGTTTGTTTGGAAAGGTGACAGAGTCTTCACTCAAACCAACCTACCTGTGTACCTGCCCGCATAATTGTTTTAATATTACGCATTTAACTATTGTCAGAATAACTGTTTTATTATTTATATTTAAAATCAACTTTGTCGAAATTATGAGGTTATCTTGATTTAAAGAAAACTGGAATAAAAATGAAATAAGCATTAATCTCATGGGATGTGATACACCTCATACCTCAGTGATACGTTGAGGAAAAAAGTTTTATTATTCGAAAACGCTTAATTTCCCATTTGAAGTCACATGCTAATTTGTTTAAGGACTGATTGCAACTACCTAAAAGGCCTCTAATTCTTTGATGAAAAAAGTTTTATTATTCGAAAATGCTTAATTTCCCATTTGACGTCACATGCTAATTTGATGAAGGAATGATTGTAACTAATGAAAGGCCTCTAAGTATTTTATGAAAAAAAGTAGTGGTAATTGAAAGAAAAATAACGTAGTGGTGATGTACAGCCCGACCTGGTGGGAAGATGGTTAAAGGGATTTTATATTTGCAAAAAGCGGAAGAAAGTAATTTAATTAAAAATAAAATCCAAATGTTAAAATATATTTTCTACTTTCTACATGTCAATTAATCACACTGAGCCCGTTGTTTTACCCTAAGTTGTAAAAGTAGACTTTCTTTTTAACAAATGATGCCGCATACTTTAGGCACAATTTTCTGGTTTAATAAATCTCGCCGGAGCGATTTCTTTATACTCATGTGACGTTATATTTATCATGAAATGTAATATTTAAGAAAGGGATACCTAGATTTTATACAATAAATAATGTCATACATCCAAATAGCGTTAGTAACATAAAGATTTTCTTTTAATGTTTTTTTATTATAACAACGACAGATAACGAGATAATTTTATTTTTAATCTAAGGATTAAACTCGATCCTTCTAACTAATATAATTAGTAGTTGGTACAAAAGTTGGATAAAGGATTTCATCAATGCATACTTATAATAATTTGACAATAAAACTTATATAGGTTATTTATTCAAAACATTTTAATATCCTATGTAATTTATATATTAAATATTTTTACCAACTAATCGAATAAATTAAATCAGGAATCGAGATACTTCAGTCCAATTTCATTAGTGTCACCAATACTCAACGTCTCTAATCTTATGTGCATAAAAGTCTTTTAAAAATTCTTTTGTAAAAGAACTCGTCTAATCCTGATTCCAAAAGTTCCAGAGTGAGCTTACTGTTCACTCCAAACTTCATGTTTATACCATCTCCACAGCCTGAAATTCATGTACCCTCAACGTAAGCTCAATCGAATGTAGGTAAAAGAACACTGCAAATAGAATACTACTAAAATACAACTAAAGATAGACAGTAATTTAAAAAGAAGAAGGTGAAAAAAGAAGAAGGTGAATGTGTCAAATGGTGTCTAACTGTGCTGAAAAAGCTTTTCTCACAGAAGTAAAAAGTATGAAATATATTAATTGTAATTTCGAAAAATAATTGTACGAATACGTAAAAAAGCAAAATTATTTATACTACCCTTAGAAATAAGTTTCGTATAAAATGTATCGTGTAAATAAACGTTTATTGTTTGTAATAAATGTAACAACGTGGAGGGCAGGTAGAACAAGTCATAACAATAGACGACCAGGAATCCTGGAGTTCAGAGATCCTGCCAACTAAAAGTGTTCTATTTATGAAACAAGTTCCCTTTAAAAAAATTCCTAATGTATTTCACCCTTCATTCTCCACCAACCTTAAAGCTTTGTATTTTGACGATAACTATATTAACCCCCTCAGGCTAAGGTTAATTGTTCGAGGTAAGAGAAAAAAATTATGAGCAATTAAAAACAACAATTTGAGCTATTTGCGTTTCAAATAGAAACGGTTTTATAGAGCTTTTTTATAAATTTTATTTAACTAAAAAGTTTCTGTTCGTCTCAAGGAGAGAGTACAAGAAATTTTTACAGAATTGTATGGACAAATAAAGCGAGAAAGTAAGTGAGAGAGGGATACGTTTATCTTTATTACTTTGTATATTACCTTGTAATATTTGAATTTAGGTTTCTGATTATATTTGTATTACAATATATTATATTTGCATCATATGTCTAATGGTTAAACCATGCAAGAAACATTTTCTTTTAAAATATCGTAAACAGTTTTGTTTATTCAGAGCGAAAAACCACTTAGAGAAGTTAGATTAGAATTTGTTATCTTTTCTGTAAATACAGTAGGTGGTGCGATTTATTTTTTTTATGTAAATTATTATTGTACTTTTTTTTAAATATATTAGAAATTTTTCTATTTTTACATTGCTGTTTACAATTATTGCGACATATTTTGTAAATAAATATGCAATAAAAATTAATTTTTACTTTGAAAAGTAGTCAACTTTCGTAAAATTTTAGGCGGAACTATTTTTATATTCAGCGTGTGGTTTATTCCGCTTGACGACAAATTCAGTCTGTTATTTATAAATAACTGTTTTTATCACATATGCGTTATTTCATCAATTGGGCAATCTTTTATTGTGTATTAAAAAGGTAATAACGATATTAAATATTAGGTCAATATTGACAAATGTCAATTTATCCGCCGTTGTCACTTTTAATCTTGGTCATTCCGCTTATAAACAGTATTTAGTCGATGTCTCTGATCTTGCCACACTCGATTTCTTGAGATGTACATTTTTCACTGTTTTTTGTCAGTTGATAAACAACAGTTTTTTTAAAACTTTTTTAAATATTTTTTTTATTTTTTTNTATTCTTACAGACTAATAAAGATCAGTTATTTACCACGTGTTTAAATAACTTACAAATAAAATTGCAAGTTGTTTTTGAAGAAGATGGCAAAGCTGTATGTCCATTTGGTAAAAAGAAGTGAAGAAGACTTTATACTAGCCGGATTATCAGAAGATAAGAAGCTATGGTGTACTCTACCTGATGATCAGCAGGACTTATTGCAACACAAGGTACTGTGTTCAAAATCTACCGTAAAAAGTGCGATTGCATCAATCAAACCAATTAAAGGTTATCGTAAAATAGGACTTAAATTGGACGATGACCTAAAAAGAGAATACTTTGACAAAGATGATAATTTGTGTTTCAAAAATTCTCCTCTGGAAGAATCTCTCGTAGTATCAGATACAAGCTGGTCCGAAAGAGAAATTATTTTAGCCAAGAAAATTGAGGAGTTAGAAATTAAATTAATTCAGAGAGATGAAAACAAATTGCAAGATGTTGAGAAGAAATTTATTTTACAAAAGTTTGACAAAACACAAAATCCTACTGAATGGTTCTCCCGATTTGAGAGTGAGTGCGCAAGAAACAAAATAAACAATATGCCACAGGTTATTGAAGCGCTACGTTTTTTTTTAACTGGATCCGCGAATCGGTGGTATGATTCAAGTTTAAAAAAAATAGGTTTGACTGATTTACATACATGGCGAAATTCTTTTCTAACTGTTTTCGGTGATAAAGGCTGGATTGAAGTGAGGAAAGCATATAACTTCAAGTATTTAGGCGGCTCTCTAATAGATTATGCTGTAACAAAAGAAAATTTGTGTTTGGAAATAGAAAGTAATAGTACCTTGGTTTCTAGAATAAACATGATTGTTATTGGGCTACCAATTGAAGTCCAAAATGAACTAGATCGGGAAGAAATAAATTCCATCGAAAAGTTATATACTGCCTTGAGAAAATTTGATAATCAATACCAACGTGTAAGAGAGTATACCTCGAATGATAGGACTGAAAAGGTAAACACAGGACTCCCACCTAAAAAGAAACAGACTGAGGTACAAACAAAAAGTCCATGTTATATGTGTGAGACATTGGGGTGGAAAAACCGATTTCATCCTACGTATGAATGTCGTAATAAAACGTTATATACTCAGAGAAAAGAATCGAATTTTATGGAAACAAAACAGAATTTGGACAGTATGGCTAAAATGATGAAAACAAAGTTCGACGGAAACACGTTAAACTAGAGAGCCCGGGGAAATTGATTCCATTAATTAATGTAAACGCAATAATTGAAAACAAAATGAAGATAAAGGCGGTGTATGACTCAGGATCTAATGTAAGTCTGATAAACCAAAGAGTTGTGGATGTTTTAAAACTAAGTTTGATGAAACATAACACCGTTTTCAGGACGATTAATGGTCTCAATTTCACTTCAGCCCGGGCAAATATTACGCTAAAAATTGGAAATATAAAAAAAAATTTAAACACTTTTGTAATCAAGAATAATAAGCTTTTATATGATCTTTTATTGGGTCTTGATGCTATAAAAAATTTTAGACTTATACAAGATGAAAATCTGAATGTTTTTCAAAAAATTAAAGATGATAAAGTAATAATAATCCACAATGATGATTCTAATAACCTTTTTAAAAGCAAGATGCAGAGTGATTATATGAAAGATGTTCCTGAGAAAGATGGTACTTACAAAGAGAAAAACAAAGGTGATAATAAAGGTGATAACATGATAACAGAAGAAAATAATGATATTAATAATGAAGACGATGGAAATATCCAGGTTCATCATCTTCAACATATTGATATAAAAACAATGATTCCCGATTTAAGTCACATTGATGACAAAGCAAAGCAATTAGAACTTTTGACTATTATCAACAGACACAAGAAAATCTTCGCTAAGGACAAATTTGATGTCGGAAAAGTGACTTCTAGAGAGGCTGAAATAAAGTTAATTCGAGATGAATATGTGACTGCACGTCCCTATAAATGTTCAATTCCTGATGAACAAGAAATAAAGGGACAAGTAAAAAAGTTATTGGCAGCTGACTTAATAGAAGAATCTGACTCACCGTTTGCATCACCTGTGACCCTTGCTTACAAGAAGGACGATGGTCGCAGATCAAGACTTTGCATTGACTTCAGAAATTTAAATAAGTTGGTTGTCCCAGAATGCTATCCCTTCCCGACAATTGGTGATATTGTGGAAAAAATTTCAAAATGTAAATATTTCACTGTGATAGACATAAATTCGGCCTTTTGGTGTATTAAGTTAAAGGAACANATATAATATGAAATATTCTTTTGTGTGGATGTATAAGTAAACAATTCGTCTAGTACGCTGTCAGTTTCGACATTCTGATTTTTGAAATAATTGCAGAAATTTCGTCACTACATACAAAAACCGGGAAGAGATCGTTTTCGGAAAATTTTTCAAATACATATAACTCTATATATTGGCATTGAAATCAAAATAGATTTAACTGCATGCCTAGTATCTAAACACTCGATATAATGTTATTTACTAGACTCGTGTTACACGTGGTCTAGTACATTCCTTGCCAAACGAAAATCGCGCCCGCAGTGGTACATCATAGCAATGAGGCAGATGTCATCTACATAGATGTCTTTAAGTCATATGACAGAGTAGAACGCAAACTGTTATAGTTAAAACTTATATCTATCTGGATTACTGGAAGAAATTTTTCTTGCATCTCTATTTTTCACCAACCATTAACCTTTTGTATTAGGCTATGATCAGATCAACTGATAATCTTTACTTTCTTGTTTCTCAAGGTGCTCATATCTTTCCATGTTTATTCAATATTTCCATTAATGACTTTCCATTCTAAAATGTTAAACTTCTCTTCACTTTGATGACATAATCATTTGCATGTCTATTACAACTACAGATGACTGCTTATCTCTCCTATCAGTTTTTGTCTTTGAATGCTCTGTACGCCTAGACTTTGGATAGCCCCTCTTTGATAGTACTATTAGTAACTGGTATCCTATGAGTAACTATGGATCTTAGTAAAACCATATTTTTTTCACCCGAAAATGGGACAAACGAGCAAACAAAACGGAAAGAAAACGACAAGAAACACCTTAACGATTAGTACCAATATCATTAATTAATTTAGATTTGATCCATCCTTAATTTGTATGGTCATCTATAATGGGTAAGTAAAGAAGATATTTGCAAAAGTTGTACGGTAGTTTCGGCAAATAAATAAACATAAAATAATTTGCCATGGCGAAAATTGTGTATGTTTTATTTTAAGTCCATAATATAATCTAGCCTTGTTAGAATAAATGTCGTCGAATATAATTTTTTATATTTATATTGCTTGTATACTTAAGAAGTTGAACGATATGCAGATTTTCACTCAATTTAGAGTTGCTATAAAAGTGGTCTTACCTTGACATATTCCCTCTTACAAAACTGTCCAGGCAAAAAATCTCATTCCCAAAGGTAAACAGTTTTTTATTTTTTCATTACATTTTATGACTAAACCGCAGTTTAAAATTTAATGTTATCACCAGTTTTAGAACTTTCAAACAGTATTCACTGATATTTTATGACATGTCAAGACCGAACGCTTAAAATTTTGTACATCGCTTATTAACTTTTATATCGGGTGTATTTTTATGACTAAATTATTTAACAGTTCATAGTACAGTAAGCCTGGCATGGCAGCCTTTAACCACTACCTTTTTTTTCATCAAGACTTTCTTTGTTTATTGAATTGCTCGATATGTCAATTTCGAATTAAATCAATTAATTAAAGAGTGCCATTCTTTCCGCTCCGTATGGAGAGCGTGTAAAAATGTTACCGGAACAAGGGTTGAAAATAAATGAAAAATTCCCTAATCATCACTATACCGCCTCAACATTGGTCATACGCAGTTGACAAACAAACCCTTACTTTTTAGTCAAAGCCTGAGGCTGAGTAAGGCAGAAAATTTGCGCGATGTGTCCTAGTTAATTGAAGGGTGTCATTTCTTGATTGCATAGCTCTTCAGTAAGACGAATTGGTAAAGAAGCTTCTAAACATCAATTAAATCTGATCGATGGGTGGTCCTTGGAGGGTCTAAATCGAAGAAATCATACCATCCGATTAAGAATAGACCATATCAAGTTCTCACACAAAACCTGCGTATGTGTTTGGCATGGAGATAAATGTTGCTCAATATGTTCCCCTTAATTCTTTGGCTCCATATAGGGAGAGTGTGAGAAAGCAATCCGATATGAGACTTGTTCTTGAGCACAAGGCAACGAGTATTTGTATCCCCTTATCTGATTTTTGGAGCAAACAGGGATGTTTAATACTACTTTATATATCTATTTTTATGTTCCTTTCGGGAAAATTAGCCTGGATATGTACTATTTGAGAGGCGATATTGAAATATTGAGTACCCATTATTTATCAATTAAATTAGTGGCACAATAAATGTAGATCGTGTTGACGAAATATCGAATCCACCACCAATCATGAAGTATCGTAAAAATGGATGAAGCAGGAATAAAAGTGTGACTGAGTCTAGGTTTAGAAATTGTTCGCGTTGTAGGCTGAAATGTCGTAGTTGTTGACATCCCCTGGAGCCTAACTTGGTGGCAGTATAGATAAGACCGAGACTCCAGACTGCCAAAACACAAAATGGGTGATTCATTATGTTCAATTATGTCCATGTATGCATGTGCAGATATCCGCAGAGTTGTTTATTTAAATCAATCAAACAATAGTGACTAATATAATGCCTGGTTTGTACATCGAACCGCCAAACCTGTCTGGTAATAAAAAATAAATCAATACAAAAAGAATAGTTAGTAATTATTAACTTATATTATTAACTAAGCTACATCAATATTATGTTTATTTGGAGGGCATGAGATGCGGTCTGGTGTGACTTAGGCTTTAGAAAAACATTTTCTTTATCGTGCCAACGTTTCGATCTTTATTGAGATCATCTTCAGGGCTCAAAGTGTTTGTTTTCCGTGTAGATGTGTCACTCTTGTGAGACGTGTTGAAAACGCACTTTATGATGTCAGACACTCTCAACGATCTCCAAATCTATCTACAATGACACGATAGAGTTATTGTTTGAAAACTACATGCGCTAAACATATAAGAGATTGCTTATATTTTTATAAACAAAATTTACTTTAATTAAAATCCTGACGAGGAATCGTGGCACGGTTCGAAAGATCGTCGATAGGACACGAGATATTTGTGATAAAAAAATATTTAGATGTAAAATTCAACGAAACGTGAAAAAATAATTAATCAACATTCGAATGTTGAATATTGAAGAGATTTGGAAATAAAAATTCAAAATGTCACCTCTAGATAGAAAATAATTTCGGGGAAAAATTCGACGAAGGTTTTATTGTTTCAAGTCAACCAGACTTTTAGAAACGATCTAATATAATTTGTATTGATTACATAATTTTATCTTTTTATATTTATTTAGACAAAGAATTCCTTCAAACTGTGGGTTTTCCAAAGCAAAGAACAGTGTAAAAATCAGTTATAATTTTTAAACAGTTTAATATTATTGCTGACTGTTACTTATTAGTGGTTTTGTTGTTCGAATTGTTTTCTTTTTTTTGAAAATTTGTAATTATCTGTGTTGAACAAGATCCAAACGGTTTTCAAGCAATATTCGTCAAAACCAATAAAAGTTTGCATCATATAACTTTGATAATTAAACAACAACAAAAATCTGCACCCAACGACTTGAGATAAGGAGAAAAATTTAATTAAAACGATAGCCAATTTAATATTTCAAGAACCATTATAAAAAATAGTAATAACCAACTTACACCTGCTGGAATATTGAAGAGATTTTGAAGGAAATAATATCGTGCCACAATATATAAAAGCCTGGCAAGTTTTAACAATAGTTCACTTGCGATACAGTACGTGAAGCGACGATGTCTCCTAAATTTCTAATCTGCATCGCCCTCGTCGTCTTAGCGGCCCAGGTATATTAAAATTCAGATTTTATAAACAAATTATATTCTTGCTTATACGCAATAAGTATTGGAGAATTTTGTAAAGTTTAAATAATTTTTTTAAATACTTAATTATTATAAAAATGATATTATCTTGATAATATTATTACTTTTATTCTATAGATTGTTATTAAAATTTCTTTTTTATCTTGACACACTCTATGGACAGACGGATACAATCAAAAACACACTTTTATAAAATTTAGTATTTCTTTTTTAAACAAGTTCGATTTCGGTGCTGCATGCTCGCCCTGTCAGTAGTATGGACTTACAACTACAAAATTTCATTGAACTCAATTACAATTTACACATTAGACTATGAAATTTTAATTGTTCTTTCTGCGTCAACAAGTTAACCAAGAATATCTCATTATTTCGATCAATTGAATTCGACGAATTTGAACCAAAACTAAAACCAATAATTCGTAGAAGTGGCCAAGAATGAAATTAAAAAAACACCTTTTTCGTTTTTCTGCCAACGTTTCGACCTTTATTCGGGTCATCGTCAGGACATAAATTCTTATGGCTCATATTGGTTTTGCGTGAAAGCATTGTGACCTCATTCTTGACCGCTCCTCACGACTTAACAAATTATGAAACAACAGATCACCAAGAAAAACACACTAAGTCCATTTGGGTCTGCATCCTGAAACTAAAGAATTATTGTTTTTAACAAGAATAATGAAGTCTTGCTTTATAGGATGGTTGTATAATGAAATAATCCTGATATTTTTATTAGGATTTGTGATAATGTAGATTTTATTATTAGACAAAATATTGCATGCTTTTTTAATATCGATTCTTAAAAAAAGTTCACTAGTGGCCTATGGGTTCCACCCCAGGGTAGTGTGTGAAGAATGTGAAAGACTAAATATGTTTAGTCAACATAAATATGGACAATGCTTATGAGAAAAGTTGGAAGATTAGTTCGAAAAACTGTACCATCGACTGAATCCCCCTTCCCGCCACAAAAAGGGTTAGGTCTGGCGGAAAAACAAGACCTCTGGGCCATTTGTGTAAATCCATCCAGACACTGACCATTTTATCTTTATGCAATTAAGTTCATCTCACTCAGAAATCTGTTAAACTACTTTTCTCTGCTATCCGCCATAGTACATTTTAATTTACAAAAATTCCAAATATAAAAAAAATAATTCCTTGTATATTACAAATATGCATTATTATAATACATTTAATTTTTATTGGAAATCAAAACATTTTGTTACAAGGGTTCGCAACAGCAGAGGTTATATCAGCCCTTGAGGTGCCGGTGTTTTCGAAAAAAAGGTCAGCCAGCCTTGCATTCGAACCCCGGACCTCTACCTTTCAGGGATGAGTGCCTTGGCCAACGCCGTAACGGTTGCGACCACCAACGACTCTTTTAACATTCTAATATCTCAAATCTTTTTTTTTACCTACAATTGGGAACGGATATTGGGATAACACTTAGGCCAAAGTATTGGAGTGATGTGGCATGAGAGAGTTGACTGTGGAACTTTGTATACAATATTCCCGCAGTATAATGTACACCCAGTCTAATACATCTATGGAACTTGGTAAATTTTTGAAACATTAACTTTGGGTATAAATGGGGTTTTATGGTCGTTTTGGAGCGTAGGGACAGAGACAGTTATAAATGCGGACCATTTCTAATTGATTTAAGAAGTTTAAATAGAAAAGATTAGAAACTTTTAGGAAATCTTTAATCTAGAAATCATTAGTAAGGTGTCAAAAACATAGAAAAAATAAGCTGCAACGTAGGTATTTATGTTCACTGATGAGCATTTATAATTAAATGGTGTTTTTCTAACAACAGCAAAGTAGCAATTGTAAAAAATTATAGATTGCTTACATCTGAAAAAACCTAGTAATCGAAAAATTACATTGACAATTGTGCTGTCAATACGTTAAATCTTATTTTCTTTTTGAATTTGACAGCTCAGGTAATTTCTGTAATGATTTAAAAAAAAGCAAAAATGTGTGGTGTGGTGATTAGTGACCGTTAATCGATAATTAGACCGCATCTCACGATTTCTGAATAAAAAGCAAAAAGATGTTTGATGTCAATTTTATGTTGATAACTTTCTAAATTTACTCAGGCAACATTCTCGCTTAAATATCACTCAAACCAGGTACAACTTAACGCGGCTTCAGTGAGGAGCTGTACAATGTTTATAGGAACACATAATTTTACTATACGGGTTGTATTTTGTGACACTAAAAATTGTATGTTGGTTTCAGTGCAATGCAGCTAAACAACAATCGATCAAATTGAAGGCACAATCCTTATTGGAAAAATTCAAGGCATGGTTGAACAACAAGCTAGAACAATTTAAACAGAAAGTGCTCAACGCAGAACAGAAGATGAAGAATTTCAAAGATTCGTTGCTGAACAAAGGTCTAACGTATATACATGAGCCTGTCGTCTCCGTTGAGAAAGATTTAGCCACATGGAAATCCATGTTCCCCGAAAAGTGCATCACAACCGCACAAACCCAGCTCAAAGAAGTGAAGACTGCCAGCGCAAAGGAGTTCTTCAAGTGTGCTAACCTCACCAATGCTTTCGAAGATGCCGCCAAACTCGTCTCAAATTCAGCTGAAATGTTAACCAAACTCTCGACCTTGTTCAGCGACTTTTTCCATGCCGTCTTCAAATGCCAGCCAGTTTTCACGTACAAAGGTTTTCAGTGTGCCCGTAAATACATCCTTAAGGTCATGAACGACGTCAAAGAAGATGTTCCCGTCGTGAAACCGTACTTTGAAAAAATGGAAAAACTTGGATTAGACTTGAAAGAACAAATACAAACTTGTCTTCATCCGCCAAAAGCAAAACTGCAAAAAGATCTCAACAACCTAATCACCTCTCTTCACAGCTGTGTGGCATAAAGTTAAAAATTATCGATGATAAATACACAAGAATGTTTCGATAATATATTTTTTTACCTGTACGTAAATTAATTAACACCGTTATTAAATGTTGCAAATAGATCAAAACAGCAGAATTACATCTCCCCCTTTTTGTCAGTCACAGAAATTATATTTCGTATTGTCATTACAAAGATACAAAAATAAAGACAGTTATAATAATATATAATTTATTTATACTTATCACAAACACATTTCCATTTTGTACCCACCACAAAAACTACTAAAACCAATTAGAAGAGTAATTGTGTATAAAAAATAATGCAGATGTTAAGAAAAAAATATTAAAAACCAAAAGAGAAAGAAAAAGAAAAGATAATGGCAGAGAGCAACACAGGGAGAGAAATGTTGAAAGGGATAGAGAAAAGTAGAGTGGGATCAAAAGTCATCGACAGAGTGAAAGAAGGAGAAATAAAAGAGAGAGAGAGAGAGAGAGAGAGAGAAAGAGAGAAATTGAGACAGAGAGAAAAAAGAGTGAGAGAAGGAGAGAAATAGGCAGAGACAACTGGGAAAAGAAAAAAGAGGCAGAATGAGACATAGCAAAAGAAAGAGTGAGAGAGAGCGGTGAGAGGGTAGAAATGCAAATGAGTAACGAACGAAACGATAACAAAGTTGATTTAAGGTTTGCAATTTAAAACGTGCAATTTAAAAATTTCACTTTAATTTAAACGATGATTTTGAAAAAATGTTAAAAATACATAGTTAATAAAAAAACAAAACGAAAACCTTGTCACTTATAAAAACTACGAATGCCCATAACAAAACAACAGAAGACAAACATGACCAAAACCATTACTCTGAAGATCATAGAGCACATAGACATTACAAATTAACAATAATTAACAAATTAATTACAAAACATTACAAAAATGAACATTTTAACGTGATTTTTTAAAACAGAATCAAACATTTTGGGATATTTTGTAAACATCCACGAGGATAGGGTGTAGCTTGCTCGTCATCGATCATCCCAGTCTGAGGTTACCCCAACACACTTTGCATCCTAGTAAAATGCCAAGTTGACAGACCTGGATGATCAGAGACGATCAAAAAATAGACAAAAATACTACATTGCATATCTTTACACCATTTTTCAAAATTAAACACAACCATTATATTATTATAATTATTGATTATATTAAAAGTGTATAAGCAGAAAAATATGTATATAAATATTATACAAGATAAATGACTCAAACTTAAAAATCCTAACTCCGAGGATTCGGACCCCACAATGAGTTTTATTTGTTCACTGATGCGTCCGAAACCACTATATTAAAACTCCGTTTAATCGAAAGAGAAAATGAGAAATACCTGAAATAAAAAAATTTTATATCCAATAAGTTCAATAAAAATATAAACAATTATTAAGTCATTGACAAGAAAGGCTCGCTATTCTCCAACAGATGATCTGAGTTTGATATGGTTATAAAATCGCCCAGGTGTATAAACGACATGTAATTGGGCAAGATGGATAGAGCTTCTCAATGGTTATTATTTTGAGTTCATACCCCTGTTAAAAAATGGTGTGGTTATTTTACCATTTCTGGCGGAATTGAAATACTGAGCAATATTGAAATATAATTTGATAATAATAAAGGCGAGGTCCTAACAAATATAATATTATTTACCGAAATCTTTGAAATCTTAATTGAAGCAAAATAAGCATGAAATTTCTGTAAAAATAAATGATCAAATCAAACATGGGAAATACGAAATTATCAAATTGATTCTGAAGATGGACTTTTACACTTCCAATCCAAAACAACGCAATCACTGAAAATTTATTTACCTTTAGTTTTAAAGTAAATTTAGGATTATTACGCACTTATTTGCTTGGCATTTAAGAAACTTAAAACCACTTTGAGGACCTATCTTTGAAAAAAGATTATTATAAGTAGAAGTAGATATTGAAAGTTATGTGCTCAAGCTAAAGGCCCAGTGTTACAAAATTTGGGTTCATGCAGTCCGAAATCAATACCAGCCTATGGAAAAAATTTAGATTGATTTTTATAAACTAACGAAAACAAATCGGGGAAATTGATATTTATTTATCGTGGTTCATAGTTTCTCTAAATTGTTATGGGAAATTCCTACAACCGATCAAAAACCTGAAACTGTATTAAAAATATGAAACGATTACATATTTGTACAACACGATATATCAAACGCTATACTCAAGTCCACATATTTTCCATTGCAATGGAATTTCTGTTTAATTAAAATGGTTCACAGGCCAAATAAACCTTCTGATTTTCCCAGTTCCTATCGATCCGTTAGTCTCCTTTCTCTGCTTGCCCAAATTATAGATAAAATGCTTCTCCGATTATTGCCGTAATTGAAAATTGTAATATTATTCTAGATCATCAGTTTGGATTCTGATCATTTCACTCGAAAACTCAACAATTGCATCGCGTTGCTGCAATATCGCCTCTTTCCACAACAAACAGCTTTGCTTGGGTGTCTTTTGTTGATTTAGAACAGGCCTTCAATCGAATCTGGCCCTCTAGCTTGCTTTGTTAACTGAAGAACATCCTCCCTTATACGTACTATTTCATGCTAAGATCTTATCTGACGAACCGATTTTGCCGAGTTCGACAAGGAACTGAATTTTCACCGTACATATCCATAAGGGCGAGTATTCCTCAGAGAAGTATACTCGGCCCATTTCTATTTTCAATATACGCTGCAGATATTCGTACACATGTTCACATTTTGACACATAATTCGCTGATGATAAAGCGATTCTTAATAATTAACACTCAATACTTACAACAACACTTGAATTCATTAATAGTATGGAGCACAAAGTGAAGAATGAAGATAAACCTAATAAAAAGCGTATCGATAAATTTTACCTTACGTAAAAATATCTCTCCTGCAGTGAGTATAAATGGAACCCCATTGCCTACTGACACATTACATGACTTTGAATCCCCACTCAAGACGGTAAAGACAGCAAACAAACCGACGTTATAAATTTTTAAAAAGACTACTAGATTCACGATCAAGATTAGACATTGCAACAAACTTTTAATTTACAAGACAATGTTGACATGACCTATCTGGGCGTACGGTTGTGAAGAGTAGGGCTCAACCAACGATTCCAATTCCCAACGTCTCCAATCAATATGATTAAAAATTCTCCGTCTACTATAAATGTTAATAATAAACTATAAATGTTCCTTTTTATGTTTCAAATTACACTATTCATAACGAAGTATACATCCCGTTTGTACATGAATAAAAATATAATAAAAAATTGTTCTGAAAGAAAGTTTACCAAAACACCGGAAAATCATTTGGTGAGAATAAATGTAACTAATAGTTTATTACCTGATTTTGATCATAATAACTGATTAAGAATAAAACTAGGTAAACAATTTCTTACTTAAAGTTTAATTTAAAATATTAAAATTTATATAAAAAAATTAATTGCACAAAATAAAAAAAATGAAAGATCAGTCAGAGTTTATTTTTCCTGCAAACACTTTGCTTCCAACCTTATTTTCGAGTACTCCTCTTACAAATTATCGATATCATTCCAAAATGTTTGTGCAAGCAACATCATGAACTTTTAACGTTGTGGTCGTTCTCGATATATAACGGGTCAACTAGGAACATGGCATGATTTGAACGAAGAAAAGGACAGAAATGAGTGCCAGCAAACTTGGACGACTGGGATGCATCAGCCAGCTACATTTTACCTACTTACCTACCACCGATAAGGTGCCCAATATGACAGCTCATAGGATTATGATATAACCTATGATGATACATGAAGGCAACCAACAACATACTACAAACATTTACAGCTGCGGCAATAACAAAAAAGGGAAAAATGGAAAGATGATCACCTACACGACATGATACCAAGACAAGGCGTACTAAGTATCACTACTGTGAAAACAATCACAAAAGCAGTATTAAATGACGTGAAAGTAAATACTACAAAATGTACAATATCTCTATTCATTTTTAAGAAGTTTATTTTATTTTGTTGCTTTGTTGGACGTAAATATGTAGTCAAATAATACCGGGCAGGGGGGAATCTTACCATCCAACACATAAAAGACTATGGAACTTATACAAATAGTTCAGCAATCGATAACTTTCAAGTAACAGTGACAATGATAGTGACAATAATCTTGATGTAGTTTACTGTCACTATTATTGTCACAGAATAATATATTTTCTCCTTACAGTACTACAAATGTGTCGTTTCTCCGCCATAATTGAGGGCATATAAATCATTGTTTATTTTTAATTAAGTATAATTACTTGTAATAAACTGAAAATTTAAAAAGTAAAACTCACTTTTGTTACAAACCAGGCAAAGGACTTCTGTCAATCCGACAACGTAAAGGAATCTTTTCAATTAATTAAGATTTTGGAGGAGATAAAAAAGTCAGCGTCACAAGCGGGATTCGAACCCACGAACTTCTGCTAAATACGCCGCTGCTCTACCACTTGAGCGATCGTGACTTCGATTCGCTCGGACAGCAACCTTCCATCTCAACCTCACCTTTTGAATTTTTCCTCCTTTTTGCCATTTTTCAACCTAAAATGTAAAGGAATCTTTTCTATTCCAGAATGCAAAAACTCTCAAAGAAAATGAGATTATTATGCACGCATGCTGCAAGGAGGTTGAGTTTTGAATTGTGCATTTCATTTATAACGAAGTATGTAATAACAATGTATACATAATTGGAATACGTCGAAATTTTCTTCTTGAATGTACGATTTTACATTGCATATACTATAATTGAAAATATTTATATTTATGTAAGTTATGGTAAAGCCTTCACGGTACTTTTTAAAGTTAAGATTTCTTTGGGTTTCGCCTTTCTGTCTTTCAGTATAATATGTCGTCACTGTCTACGAAAGATAGGAATGGGTTCGATTTTGTAGTCATTTGCTATTGTGAGACTAAAATTAAAACACTTAAGATATGTTTCTCTAATTACACAACACTGTCAATCAACGCCTCCTAACAATCAAAAAATTCTTCCACATTACTATATAAAGAACGTGGAAAATTGTGCAATTCAGTTCAAATCAGGCAAGCTATGAAAATGTACACGAAACTTTTCATTTGTGTAATCTTAGTCTTAGCAGCAGCTCAGGTAAGCTTTTTGCCACAATACTTATTATTTTACTTACACAATTACTTATTAAATTTGCAATTATCGTTAAAAAAGTTGCAAAGATAAAATTGATAAAACTATTAATATATAAAATATTTTAGTGAAAACCAGAAAAATGAGGTTATACACAGACAGAATTGTATGTGTTGTAATTTACAGAAACAATAGTACTCCAAACTTCTTTTTCTATTTCTCCATACTCTATATACATACACTTACACAAAAACAGCCCAGGTACTCGATTTCTGTGGGCTAGCCTCCTACATACTTTAAAATCTTAATTTATGAATATTTAAAGGAGTAATTTTGAATCAACTAAGGCACTAGTGTTTTTTACAAGTTTATTGTGTTTTTTTTGCCTATGCTTCTATTTTTGCCTAGTCGATAATTATACTAGTTGTAATTGTAAAAAATATACATTAGTTATAATTTTCATATTTTCTATTATAAATTGTATTTGTTTTTAGTGTGAAGCCGCTTTGCACTTCGAGAAAGAGGCAGAGGAATTCGTAAACAAATTTACGACTTGGATAAACAATAAGGAATACAAACTCAAAAACAAAGTAGAACATGCCGTGGAAGATCTCAAGGAACTCAATGAATCCTTGGCTAAACGTTCCGTAGAACGAATGCAAGCTTCCCTCTTAATGGTCCAAAAAGATTTGAATTTGTGGAGAAAGAATTTTCCCGAAAAGTGCTACAACCCGGCTAACGAAAAACTCAAAACGCTGAAGACCACCAGCGCTAATCAATTCTACGCGTGCTATGAGGGTTCTGAGGCAGTTGCCGACTTAAACAAACTTGTTACCAAAGTCAAAGACTTGACGAGCAAAGTAACCGAACTTTTCCAAACCGTCTTGGCCGGCTTGCCACATTGTGAACCCTACGTGACCGGCGAGGGTGCGAAATGCGTCAACGCATATGTCCTAAAGATCGTACAATATTTTACGACCGATTTTCCGCAGTTGAAAGATTATTACGAAGAGTTGGACATGGCTGGCCAAGAGGTTAAGACTCAAGCCGAAACGTGCCTTGAAGCACCTAGGACGGAAATGAACAAACAACTCACCTCCCTCATTGAGAATCTCCATATCTGTTCCGCATAATTACTAAAATACAAATAAAACAAACAATTTTCTTTAGGTATTGATTATCTATTCATCCTTATTTTCCGCTACAGAACTATATCTCTCGGTCAACTTTCCTTTTTTATCTCAATCCATCCATTTTTATTTATAAGCAGTGCTTCAGTACCCTCAAACAATGAATGTTGAATAGACATTGCTTTCTTTTATAAAACTCCAGTAACATGGTTAATGCTCTACCTTTTATGCGAATAATTACGAAATTTCCTTCTTTGCACTAATCAAGCAGATGAAAAGTAGGCACCCAACGAGAATGACTATGTTGAGGTTTTGTCCTGTACCTGCCTATGGAACCGACATTTGGACAATTTTCGACAATATTCTTCGCCGTATATTTGAGCCTGTGAAAGTGAGAGATAGAAAACAGGAAAGGTACAATCGGGAGCTCTATTCGACTTTTAATGTGCCTGATGTAATCATGTTTATGGACTATCAGAGGCGAGTATGTAATAAGAATTAACGATGAAAAGATCGATGTTTTCTTATATTTCGACCTCAACAGTTTAACTTTTTAAGGTCATCTCAAAAAAACAACAACCAGTTTTTCTTTCAATCCATACCGTTCGGGTTTATTTTAATCCTTCCTCAGGTGGGTTAACGCAGTGGTTAAAAAAGAAAAACTGGTTGTTGTTTTGATGACCTATTATCCCACCTTCGAGAAGGAAAAATCATAAGATGAAAAGATCCTGAAGAATTCGAAATATGTCCTAAAGATACTTACTCGTTCAAGAAGGCATCCAATGCTACTCTGGTTGGCAACATAACAGAAGATGCCAAGAACCTGCAAAGTGTCAAAAACTGGAAAGCCCTTGAGGAAGATTCTCTAACTAGATTATCGCGCTGATAATAAATTGTGAAATTACTGCGTCATTTTTGTCTTGATTGTCATGCAAATTGTTGAGCCAGTAAATAATTCAAATCAAAAAATGACAACGAATAATTTCTGCGGTATGCACTAAGGGCAATTACCGCATCGATGGTAAAATCCAGAGCCGTTTGGGATTGTATTAGGGCCCTGTCAGACTTTCGCCGCGACAGAGAAATGTGAAAAAGTTTATCAAAGGGACATCGGAGAAACTGCGTCAGAACTGCTCAATTTTAAACTGCTTAATTTTAGAAATGTTAGGACAAGAATTATGGTTAGCCTGTTGGATAGATTATGGCGGCGAACAATCAAATTGTCGCCTAACCCCTACTGCTAGAATATCCCATCGTTCAATGCGAGACTATTGGAAAAGAAAGAGGCTCTATGAGGGATGGTGGAGGAGTCGGGTTTCGAGCGAGAAAGGACGAAAGAAGTGGCCTGTAAGAGTCTGCGCAAACCAGAAAACAAGAAGTGTGTAATTTATTTTTTTATATCGTATGTACGATTTATACTTTTTCAAAAAATTATATCAGCTCGTAGTTTTGGTCATAGGAAAATTAGTGTATATTTTTATTATTTTATTTTGTATATAAACAGATTCAATTTTTTTTAAATAACTAAATATATTGGACTTTATAAGTAGGAAAGTATTTGTTTATTTTTTCTGTTATAGGAAAGTATTTGTTTATGTTTTTTTATTTTTTAATAATAGAAAGAATTGTTTAATAAATAGGTTTATAGTGGAATTTATTTTATTTAATTTACCCTAATATTACAAGATACTGCAGACTCCGTAGGTAAATGTATATGACTCGGAGAAGCAGAATCAAGCCTGCGATATTGCGAGGAAGAAGAAGAAACAAGTTTGTTGGTACAAAGACCTATGCAGGCTGAAAGTCCTACTCCTGGGAGAAGAAATGTCAGGACCAGAGGATACTCACAGAAGTCCTTTAAAAATCTTTGGAATCTGGAAAATACTTACAACTAATGATAATCTCTAAACAACAATGGAGATGAGCAATGGACCGTTGTAATCGTTGTAAAATAGCCTACTACTTTTTCTAATCTAATTTGATTTTTGGTATTTATCTCTTGGTTCCTTTTACTGCAAAAGAATACAAACCTTGTCAACCCTGAAGAAAAATAGACACGATCCTCGTCCCAATTTTTGCCAAACTCAGTGCAGTTAAGTCTTCCATAATCGGAGTTTTAGAATGCACGGTGGGTCACATGTAATAAAAAAGACTGTCGTATTGCTATTAGAAAACATTATTCATTATTAAATTAATTAACTCTGAACATTGCTTCAACAAACACAGCTTCGCTTTACCAAATCTTACTTTTTCAAGTTCGCTATTAACACAACTTGAATGAATCAGGCACATCCCATCTACACAAATTTCTAGGCATTTGATAGAATAAACCACAATTTGTTATTGTGGAAACTTAAATCTATCAGGAGTAGTACGTATGTGCCTTGGATCTCTACTTTTAACTAACAGTAATCTACTTGTACGAGGCAGTTATCATTCTCAAGAAATGAAGGTTTCCTCTCGTGTTTCTCAAAGTGCTCATCTCTTTCCAAGATTATGTAATATTTTTTATCAATGATCTTCCATTCTAAAATACACAACTTCTCATGACTTTGATAGATGACTGCTTATTTCTTCAATCTGACTTTGAATGCTCTATACCTGGTCTTTAGTTAGCCATCTCTTTCTTAATATGATTAACTGAATAATTCTATGAGTTTTAACCGGTTTAAAACTTAGTAAAAAAATATTTTTTCATTCGAAAATGGGACAACCAAAGCAAACAGAACGAAAAGATAACGGTAAAAAAAACCTTTAACAATTAGTGCCAAACTCATTAATTAATTTCGATTAAGAATGGATCATTAATTTGAATGCTTATCTTTAATGGGCAAGAAAAGCAGGCCATACTTGAAAAAATAAATAAATTGAAGTTTTAACAAGAAATGTAAGATAATATGCCATGACGAAAATTTGGTATGTTTTAGTTGAAGTTTATTACAATAATTGTCGTCCAATTATGTGTATAATTTTTTAATATTTATTTTGATTGTTATAAACGTAAGAAGTTGAACGATAAGCAGATTTCCACCCAAATCAGAATGGCTATAAAAGTGGTCTTTCCATGAAATATTTCCCCTTACAAAACTGTCCAGGCAAAAAATTTCATTCTCAAAAGTAAACAGTTTTTTATTTTCACATTATATTTTATGACAACCGCAATTAAAAATTTAATGTTATAACCAGTTTTACAACTTTCAAACAGGTTTTCGCCTCACTCGTATTTTATGAAAGATTAAAGGGCCGAACGCTTAAAATTTTGCACATCACTTATTAACTATACAGGGTGAGTCATTTTTTGACGCACCATTGGAAAATCAACGCGGGTGCGTTTAAATCTGACTCGAGGCTTATTTCTTTTGATTAATACGTTAATAAAAGAAAGTGAGCCAATTTTCGGTGCACCATAGGAAAATCAAGGTTGGTGCGTCTAATTATGACTCGGCACATTTTATTTTGTTAGTCTCGTGCCAAAAAATAGGCGAGTCACTTTTCGACGCACCATTCGTTAGAAATTAGTTTTAGTAGGTTGGAAGGAAAATAAACAAAACCAATATTATTAAAACATTATTCAAACACAATGTAAAAATTTAAAAAAATTCTTCACAAATTAATCTGATTAAGGTTTAAGAGTATTTTTTTCGTCCGATCATCGTTTTACGATAGACTAGGCTACTGTGTTGTAGCAAATGGAGGTCTGTTCGAACAATTATTATAATGATTTTGAACATTTATGATTTGCTAACAAAGGAGATTGTTACATTTATTTAATGTTTTTTACTTTACCAGAAAAAAGGAGATTGTTATATTTATTTAATTTTTTTACTTTACCAGAAAAAAATACTCTTAAACCTTAATCAAATTAATTTGTGAAGAATTTTTTTAAAATTTTTACATTGTGTTTTAATAATGGTTGAAGAACATGGGATTCTATGAACAAATTTCAACTACATATGGACACGCAGCTAAAAGTATTTTGAAGGACATCGCCAACAATGAGAAGAAACTCGCATCGGCTATCAACCAGGGAACTTTTTTGCTGAAATGCAGACAACACAAGGCCCTGAAGATGATCTCAATAAAGATCGAAACGTGGGCACGATAAAGAAAATGTTTTTCTGAAACCTACATCACACCAGACCGCATCTCACGATTTCTGAATAAATATTGGTGTTGTTTATTTTCCTTCCAACCTACTAAAATTAATTTCTAACGAATAGTGCGTCGAAAAGTGACTCGCCTATTTTTTAGTACGAGGCTAAAAAAATAAAATGTGCCGAGTCATAATTAGACGCACCAACCTTGATTTTCCTATGGTGCACCGAAAATTGGCGCACTTTCTTTTTTAATGTTAAAATCAAAAGAAATTGGCCTTGAGTCAGATTTAAACGCACCCACGTTAATTTTCCATTGGTGCGCCGAAAATTGACTCACTTCCTTTTTTTTTTGTTAAAATCAAAAGAAATTGGCCTTGAGTCAGATTTAAACGCACCAACGTTGATTTTCCTATGGTGCACCGAAAATTGACTCACTTCCTTTTTTTAATGTTAAAATCAAAAGAAATTGGCCTTGAGTCAGATTTAAACGCACCAACGTTGATTTTCCTATGGTGCATCGAAAATTGACTCACTTCCTTTGTTAATGTTAAAATCAAAAGAAATTGGCCTTGAGTCAGATTTAAACGCACCAACGTTGATTTTCCTATGGTGCACCGTAAATTGACTCACTTTCTTTTTTAATGTTAAAATCAAAAGAAATTGGCCTCGAGTCAGATTTAAACGCACCCACGTTGATTTTCCAATGGGGCGTTAAAAAATGACTCACCCTGTATATCCGGTGTAGTTTTATAACTAAATTATTTAACAGTTCTCAGCAGAGTAAGTACATTTTTTTTCGAGGGTTCGCAAAAAATGACAACTACCTTTTTTTCCATCGAGACATCCCTTGTGTACCAAGGCCAAGGTATGTTCGGCATGCAAAGATTGCTCATTATGTCCCAATGAACTAAAAGGAATGACAATTCCTTGGCTCCGTATGGAGAGC